TTGCATTTTGTGCACAGTGAAGAGCTTTCCTCCTTGTTTTTAAACCTGGATCTGGCATTTTGTTTTCCTTGGGATTTAAGAACCCTTAAGCCCATTGACAGGCCCTACAATAGTACATCAACAGATTCCTGATGTGCTACAACATGTAAACACTCCAGTCCTGTGATATGGACAGGGTGCCTACAGAGATAAACTGAATCTTTATAGACCACAGCAATCCCATCTCAGCAGGCCTCAAATCTACTCTTGAACCAAGTACCCCCATTGGCAAAACTGGGAAAGGCTGACTCCTACCTGTTTGCCCACTTAAGTGTTGGTTATACAAACTAGAGGGGCAGCCTCAAGCACTACGTATTAGAACGTAAATGAGAAAAGTCTTGCTCTGCAGTGATCCGGCATTTAAGAACAATATTTTTTTATATGTGCCTTAAAAAATTGGAATATTCTTGGGAAAGCATGGCTGGATTACAAAAGGAAGTTGTTGTTTGGATCACCTTGTTGTTGTTTGTGAAATGAGAGTTAATAAGCCATTGTTACCCTCAACTAAATCCTAGTTTGGAAAAGCCCTCAGTTAGAATTGTTCTCAGTTCCATTTAGGCACAAGATCATTCTGACCCTTAAAAGAATTTTACAGGCATAGCCACTTACTCTGGTATCTGATGCAAAAGTGAAACTGCTTCTTCCAGTGCAGTCAGATACAGCCAGTTCACATGTCATAGTGGCACACTGTGGTTTACTTAACCCATGATTTGTGGAGACACACACTGCATAATAAAAGCTTGCCCACCTTCTGTAAACAGTTTCTAGAATCAGAGGCTGTTAGCACAGTATGTGAACTCAGACCACTGGGTCACTTAGGGGCTAATGAACCCAGTGGGGAATTCAGCAACAAACCATGGATCAACTGCTCGACTGTTTAGCCATTAAAAAGCAGTATAGAATTCAAACTCATCCTTTATGTCAATGAACTTCTATTGTTTATTTTGGAAATCCAGTCATGTGATGCAGAAAATCCAATAATTTTGGATATTATCTGGCCATTCAATTAATTGGTCAAAGTCTGAACTGTTGTCAGTCAGATAGATAAGGTAATGTCCCCATAATGTGGTAATTAACTGGCAATTCAGACTCTACCCAGAGTTTGTTCCTTATTTGGGAATAGTTGCCCCTAGGGATATATCTGAAATGATTACATTGAATTTATGTAAGCTGATCAATGAGATTTCATGCAACATTACTAGATAACCATATTTAAAGTTAAGTCTATAAAGTAAGGTAAATACACTTAAAATGGTTCTAATATCTCAAATTATTTTACATGGTATTCCTCCATGTATACCCAGCAAGTATTTAAAAATGTAATTCTTTGTTTTGTAAATTCCTATGATGATCACATTCCGCCACAGATATCCTTGAAACTGATGTGTTTTTAATTTAAAAAAAAAGGGGGGGGGGGTAGATTTGGCTTCCTCAGTCCCTATATAATTGGCCCTTTTGTTGACTTCTACTAAATTTTGGTCTTTTCTGCTCAGATATCCTTCCTTACATCTTCTCATCTTATCCTGTTTTGTGGGATCAGCTGCAGAGTCTGGGAATGAGAACTAGACACTTGCTTCTTTTATGACATGCCTTCTGCTTTTAGCCTTCATGGGGGTGTGGATCAGGGGAATAGGAAATGCATGAATCTGCGTGATGCTGTATCTGGAGATTTATGCCAACTATGATCCCACCACAAATACCCCATTCCTGCGTAAAGTGCTCAAGTGGTGGCATCTCAGCTGCAGGAATGCTTAAATTCCAGTCTGGATTCAGATCCATTTTTGGGATGGAATCAGCCCTGGTTGCTCTGATGGATGACCTTCTTTGGGAGAGGGACAGAGTCTGAACTGCAACCCTGTTATTACTCCTGGATCACTTATTTTTCTGGACCACCTCCATGAGTTGGGAATTGGAAGCATTGTTCTACAGTGGTTTGATTTGTATTTGTGGATTGATTCCAGAGAATAGCACTGCATGACAGCACCTCAGCTCCATGACAGTTGAACAGAAGCCATTTTGTCCTCAATGTTGTTTCAAAACTATCTGCATGAGAATGGTCATCAGGTGTCAACAGAATGTTGATAACACTGTATGATTTCTCTGTAACATCTGAATTGGAAGAGGCTGTGCACATCCTTAACTGATGCCTGGATGCACGTATACCTTGGATAAACAAAGACTCTATGGGCTATCTAAGTCGAGGAACTGGGCTGTTTGCCTGTTCTAGATGGAACTGCACTCCCTCTGAAGGAGCAGATACATAGTTTGAGGGTGAACCTGAGTTTATTTTTATCACTAGAGGTCTGGGTGACCTCGGTGGTCCAGAGTGTCTACTACCATCTTGGTTGCTATGCCCATTTCTGGATAGGGATAATCTAGCCACAGTGACCTGGTAAGTTCATAACCAGGTGCTCTATGTGAGGTTGCTCTTGGGCCTGGTTCAGAAGCTGCAGCTAGTGCAGAACGCACAGCTAGAGTGCTCACCAGGTCACCCAGGTGTTCTAGCATTCCAGAGGGCCTGTCCTCCTGAACTCAAGTCTACCCAACATGGCCCATGGGCTCTGTGGTATTAATATTGATATTAATTATAAGCATGCACTCTACATAGTATTTCAATGTGCTTTTAATTATGGTTTTAATATTCATGCAAAACCACTTACAGATTTTTAAATATTCAGCATTATATAAATAGTACAAAATACCACTATCTGAAAGTTGGAAGAGTCAATAAGTCCTCAGTTCATTGCATTATCAAGGGTGGCCATTTAGTCTTCCAGTGTTCTCAATTAAGTCATTTAGCTGTTGATAAGGGCATAAAATCCATTTACATTGATTTGCATTAGGTTCCAAGAAGTGGGTAAATAGTTAATTAACGCCTGTACATACAAAAATATTTAAACATTTTCCAATACAAAATGTGTCTGTATTGACTGGGTTCACAAATGACAAGCAATACTGTTCAGTTTCTGCTGAGTGCAGATTTTTCCTGGATGGGATCCCCAGCAACCATATGGTTTCTAAGATGAGTGCTTTCCAAACACCTCCTTCAGTCCTCCCACTGCTGAAACATCAACCTCCATGGCCAAATTTCAATCCCAAGGTTTGCTGCCCGTGCTGCCTGCCACCCCCCCAGTCCATATGTTTCCCTGGGGTTGTTCTCCAGCACCAATCCCTTTGTTTCTTTTTTACATTTGTCAACTCAACTGGCCACTTGCTCAGTAGAATAATACATATGCCTCCCCTTTTCCATCATGCTCCATGCCAACATCAAAGCATTACTACCAGCAACCCCAAATCACTCTCTATTCCTCCCTTGCTTTAGATAATCCAAGACCTCCCTTCTCTGTAATAGGCTACTTCCCCCTGCACATGAGGGGCATTTGTGCAGCCACCAAAGGCCTTTCTACAGTGGCTACTGGAGAGAAATATGTTGGCATCCATGTCAGAAAAGAGGATCAGCTTTGGTGGTGGTACTGCTGACAGTATTTCCTCCTGATTCACTGGGAAATAGCAGCATGGATTTCCCAGGTCTCATTCCTGGCTGCAGTGGGTGAAGGTGGGTTTAGAGAGAAGGGGAGAGGCCACACAGTGGCAGTGAGACCACTTCTGAAGAAGCCCTCCCTCAACAGGTAAGACCCCATTAACTTTAGGCCAGTGGCTCTTTCCTGGGCAAGGTTCTTGAGAGGGTGGCTGACCATCAATTCCAGGCACTTTGCATGAGACTGATTATCTAAATTCATTCAGTGAGGGTTCAGAAGTGGCTCTGATGTGGAAACAGCCTGCATGAAGACCTACACTTGGGATGATCCTGTTCATATTCCCCCTCCTCTCAGTGGCTTTTGGTACATTGCATTGGACTGTGGGGATGCTGTGGACATAATATATTTTGACTTCGACAAACCTTTCAACAAAGTGCCCCATGACATTCTGTTCATCAAACAAGCAAAAAGCGGGCTAGATCAAACAATTATAAAGTTGTTCAATGACTCCTTCTCAGACTGGGAAGAGATAATGAGTGGGACACTGCAGAGCCCAGTCCTAAGCACAGTATTCTTCAACATTTTTATTGATAACTTGGATGAAGTGGTACAAAAAATACTGATCAGATTTGCAAATGACACATAACTGTGTGGAACAGCTAATTCCCTGGAAAACAGAAACAAAATTCAAAGTCATCTTGATAAGCTAGAGTGCTGGGCTGAAAGCAACAGAATGAAATTCAGTAGGGACAAATGTGAAGTGCTGGGGAAAAGAAACCAAATGCACAGTAATACTGCAATGAGAAGAATCTTGGAATTGGTGTAGATCACAAGCTGAATGTGAGTCAACAATGTGAAGTGGCTGCAAAAAGGGCAAATGGTCTTTTTGGCTGCATTAATAGAAGTATAGCTTTCAAGGACATAAAGTTCTGGTTCTCCTCTACTCAACATTGGTTAGGCCTCATCCTGAGATTCTGTGTATTTAAATACATTGTATTATCTACTGAAAGCATTTGGGAGTGGGGTGCAGGAGGATAGTCCAGAAAAGTTTTGCCCTGGATCACACATCTACAGCCCTGGATTTGGCTCATACAACCCATCCCTGGCATTTTACCCCCAGAATGACTCACCTAATCCAGGATTCAGAATTCTACAGATACTTTTTAGGAAAAACAGGATCTAATTATTTCAAATAAAATTAATAACAAACAGGTAGAGCACACAATTTACCCTCAAAGGTACCACTATAATGTATGAGCAGAGTACATAACCTTGAATGTTAAATCAAGAAGATGGGCACAGGAAGGAAGGTATTAGAGCTGTCCTAAGGTCATTGCATCATATGCAACATCTGTCTAACAACACTGGTCATGTTGTTCCTAAACGGCGCCATTCAAGGATGTGAGTTGGCTCCCTCCCTTGGCTCATTTTGTATTAATCCAGTCAATGGCTTCCAGGTAACCTTTGGTATTTCTTTCTCAGACCGCAAGTTCCTCATTGCCAATGCACAGATGGAGAACTGTGCCATCATTTATTGCAATGATGGTTTCTGTGAGATGTTTGGCTACTCTCGAGTGGAGGTGATGCAGCGCCCCTGCACCTGTGATTTCCTCACTGGGCCTGACACTACACACAACTCCATTGCACAGTTGGGGCAGGCATTGCTTGGATCAGAGGAATGTAAGCTGGAGATTCTCTACTACAGGAAAGACAGTAAGCAATTCTTATTCCAAAACTTTATTTATTCATCAGCCAAATGGCTGGACCTTCTCTTTTCCTGACATTCTTTGTTGAATGTGAATGTTGTTTTTCCATTTTGAACTGTAACAATAAGCTGTATGTGTAGTCCTCAAGTCATGGAGAAGTTCTGTTCCTGAGAATGGTCTTAAATTGAATGGGTATATAAGTCAGATCAAACAAGTAAGCCAAATGTTTGTCTTAGTCAGTGCTTTTTTTGTAAAAAAAAAAAAAAGTGCCGGAACTCACGTTGCCGCCGGCAATAAGCATCAGCGCGCGACCACACACACCAATCCCAAGCTGAGCAGCATCCCAAGCCGGGTGGCGGGGACACAAAAGCAGCCCACAGGCACTATGTGAATGATGTTTGCTGCTGACCTGCTACACTGACAGGCGATTCAAAATCACTTCGTAAAATCCATTGGAAAAAAAGGTGCTGGAATGCCGTTCTGGTGCATTCTATGACAAAAAAAGCCCTGGTCTTAGTATATGTATATATTTTATCTTTCTGTGCATAAGAATAGAAGGAAGCACTTAAGAAGCATTTCCATATTCAGTAAAACATCTTAAATACAATACAGCATTTTAATAATGATAATAATGCAGTAATTATAAGTAACTACAGGTACTAAAGAGAGAGATCTGTATGTGTGTGTGTGGGTATACAGTACTGTAAAAAACCAAATAGAAGAAACAGTTCTTAAAACAGTGTAGAACATTCTTTCAAATAGTGTCTTGTAGCATTAAGCTAGCTCATTCTCATTCTTGCATAGATTATAACAAGGTCATGAATATGATACATTTTGAGCACTTTAAGGTACTGAATGTCATTTGTTCTTTTTGTTTGTTCATTTTCTGAATATATTTCATGGTTGCTCTGCTAATTTACAATAAACCATAAGAATAATAGAATGCCACAATTCCAAACAAAACCAAACCTAAAACAAAACAGAAAATAATCAGAACTTTCTTTCTTTTTATAGAATTGGGTAATATTTGCAGGTCTGTTGGCCATTCTGGAGGGGATCAAGTCTGCCAAACTTTATTCAGACAGGTTCTCCCTCCCCTCATTTTTCTCTCTTTCCCCATCTGCAGCATGGGCATGCTAATACTGATCCAGTTCCTCTTCAGCATTTACCCTTGTAAGCAGGCCCTCAGCTGCTACAAGGCCATTTATGAGAAAAAGAAAATGGCTGTTCAAAAAACCCTTGAGGCCTGCTTCAAGAAAGCAACACTTTCCCCCCTCCAGCAGCACAATCAAACCCTGACTGTCTAGCACCAGATTCATCTTCATCCTCACTAGTTAATGTTAGGCTTAATGTTTACCTCATGGATTAGAAGGTTAAGAACAAAAACAGGATTTCAAGCTTTAAAAGAACAACAAACAAACAAACAACAACAGAGTAGAGAAAAGTCATGTTGGGGCACCTCTGCTTCTGCCTTTCCCAGAAACTGTTTTGCTGCTGTTCTGTTTCATCCTTGAGTCCCTACATCTTCCCTGAAACACACTGGCTTGGGTACAACAAACAGAACAAGAAGCTGTGACTATCTCTAGCAAATCTCTATTAAATTAAAAGCCATTAATATTTCTAGAAAACTATGCACCCACTGGTGACACATCACGAAATGCATTGCATAGTTCCATAGAGATATCCATGGCTTTTCAGTGGAGGTATTAATATAGGGTTTATGATACTCCACATGCTTCTAAGTATGGGTTGCTTGTTACCTGAAACACTGGGAAGTCACATCTCTGCATACATACTAAATAAACCCAGAATAATAACAAGTTGTAAGAGATCCCAGAAGGTAGGAGTACTGCTGGCCAGAGGACAATGGGGTGAAGTAATGTTTGCGCAATTAAACAAGCAGAGGAAATCAGAATTATAGCTTGGAATATATTAAAAGCCTACAGTTCAGCAGGATTTTACCGCAGCTTTTGCCTTTTAACTTTTCTTTGTGATACATTCAGCTACTGGCTACAAAATATGATCAACAGGTTCAGAATGTTAAATGAGAGAGAGATTATCTCTCTCATCCCCCACTCTTTGCCTTCTTTGTCTTCTTCCCCTTCTACTTTGCCAGCCCAGAGAAGGCACTCATGTCTATTTTTAAAACCCTGCCCCACTGGCAGGGTGAATAGAAGTGTCTCTACTCAACCCTCGGTCTGTGATCATCTGCTTCAGTGTTTATAAACTAGTTTATTGGCAGGGGAAAGACCTGACCCTGTGTTATTGGCAGCCAAGACTTCATTAGACAGTAGAGCCTCAGTCCATTCAGTCTCTTTTTTGTGGTTTTTTCTCCCAGCACTCTTCAGAGCCATCTGCAGTTTATTGCTCTGTGGCTTGCACAGTTGTTTCTTTGCTTTTGCAACCCACTAGAGACAAAAAATTAGCAGCTGCTGTTCAAGAACAGTGTCTGGTTCGAGTGAGAAAGAATAAACAGTGGGAAGAATGCCACGTTTTTTAATAGAAGAGTTGAGAAAGCTGATAACATCGGATTTAGAACTGTATGAATGGGCAGTGCACAAAACACAACTATTTATCTACAGACATACCTGTGCAGACATATGTGGTACTACACAGATATCCAAAGCTGTTGCCTTGTAATAAATGCATGCATGCATGCATGCATGCTGTGCTTTGTATAAATTGTGCAGAGTGAGCATGTATGCATATTTTGGCATGCTTACTCTGCTACTTCTGTTCATTAGGAGGGCACTGATGCTTCCACTGGATATGACTTTCAACCAACTTTCTACCCTACAAGCATTCATCACGTTTAAACCAATTGTCACTGCTAGAACTGAAGGCTACAGTTGAGGCAGGGGGAGATTTTCTTAAAATCTGACATGCTAAGATGAATGAGTTCTGCACTCTGCCACATTCTGCACTTGAAGAGTACAGCTGAAAAGTCATGCCTTTAGATGCAGGCATCCATGCTAAGGTTGCCCACAGGTATTGTGTTTTTCTCCCTCTCATTGGAAGCTCAGAACTTGAGAAGAACCTTGCTGGATCAGACCAAAGGCCCATATAGTCTCATACCCTGTTTCCCATAGTGACCTGGCTGTGGAAGATCTACAGGCAGGGCATGATAACAATAGCTCTTCTTTCCTAAGAATTGCTTTTCAGAGGCAATAAGGACTGCAGGCCTAATTAAAAACAATACAGCTGACATTTAAAGAAAGTAAAATCTGTATGCAAAATACACACATCTCTGAGTAACAAGTAGCATAGAGATGGAAAGCTAGAAAAATAAAGCTAGTGCAGTTTGCATTCTAGGAAAAGAATCAAGAAAATCTGATCATGTGAGTTTATGAAGGCATGGTGGAAAACACTGGATTTGATGCATGTGAAGAAGAGAAAATAAGAGTCCATGGGAAGACCAGGATTTGACCAAGATTCTCTGGGGCACATTGTCCACCTGCTAGTCACTCCTGGGAACTCCCTGGCAGTGGTCAGCTATGGCATTTCTTTAGCCTTTGCTTCTCTGCATATTCCGCTAACATGCCTAACAGATCTCAGAGGATCTGAGAAGACAGGAGGAGGCTGTTGAATCAGAAGTGTTAGTGCAGCCTCCATCAGGATCAACCAAACGTTTTCATTACCAGGTGTTTCACAGCTGGACTTGTCAATGGCAGAGCATAGCAGTTTTGAGGTTAATTATCAACTAAGTCAGTTCAGCCAGAAAGTATGGGAGACAGAATCCGCCGAGAGTAATGACTGGTTCCACTGATAGAGATAATGCAAAAGCAGCAATCAGTAAACTCTTCCAGGTCTTAATTATTAATCTACCGTTTTGCCATAAATTTAGAAAGCTGCCAAGTGGCACAAGAACTGAACTTTCTTCCAGTGCTGCCAGTGCCAAGTCATCCCAGGCTGGTTTTTGCTGCCCCTTTTGAATGGATTTCAAAGAAGCAAAAGTAGACACAAGTACACTTTGTTTGGACTGTGCCATGAGCACTGTTGGAGTTTATTTAATGTATTTGCCCAAAAGGAAGCAGGAAGATCCAGAAGCTGCCAGCAACAGGGTTTGTTCACTTGTGACATGAGAGCGGGGGAGACTCGTGGCACTTTTGCTATCTCTGTTTATCTGCAAAGAGGTAGGGTTGGTCTGCAAAGAGATGTTAGTCCCAAAAGCAAAGCAATATGCATGTACCTCTAGTTTCTGCACAGCATGCACTTTTTCTTCCAGCGTGACTCACTCTTTCCTTTGCTAGCTGCACTGCAAATGATTTTTGTGGTTTTAATTTTCCATTGTGAAAGCTGCTGTTTTGAGTTTGAGTTACTGAAAAATCCCACTTCTTCAGTGCATTATTTTATGCTGCTGATATCACCTCAGCCAGTTTCTAAGCATTAAAGGATCTCTTCAGCACAAGGTTCCAGATACTCAGAATAACATGGTGAGCATGATGTCCTGGTGCCCCTGGATGATCAGATCAGGCCACCTCATGATGTCACTGATGTCAAATGAAGGTTTTACATTGTCCCCATTTTTACTGAGAACAGGGAAGTGGGAACATATTTCCAATGCAAGGTTCTTTGAACCAAGCAATGCTTCTTGCCTGTAGCACTGCATGGGCAGTTTCATTGCTCACTACTGCACCACAGCAAGAAAACACCAAGTTGCATATGGGTAATTTGGCAGGATGCATTGGGTACTGGAAGTAATTTGCTTCATTATCTGCATTCTGACATACATCCAGATCACAGGACATGTCATAAGTTTCAGTGAATGTGAATTCAAATGCAAACATTTGTTCACATTGTACCATAAGTGCAGCTGAGCTGGGATGGGGGCGGGGGGCATTAGCCTGGTTGTCTGATGAGAGTGAACACCAAGGGAGTTATGAGGACAAAAGAAAGCATGAGACTCCCAGGATAACGAGTAAAGGAACCCTGCTGGATCAGTGGAGGGATGTAAACAGTGGGGGAACTCCAAGGAGTTATATTAGGACTGGTACTTTTAACTTGTTC